TGATTGGCTTTAAACCCAAATTGATTATCAGTAGAGCCAATGAGATTATGAAACCTACTCAGGAGAATTTCTTTAACAACTTTAGAAAATATATTAGCAAGTGCAATGGGTCTATAATTATCTGAGCAGCTTTATCCTTCACCACCCGGACTAAAAGCACTGACATCAAAGAGTCAGTCATAAACCATGCATAACAAAAGAAGTAAAGAATATAGCTAAAAGAGGTGCCAACCTCAAACTAGCATATTTAAGATGTTCTACAAAAATGCGGTCCATCCCAGTAGACTTATTTGCTGACAAATTGCGTATTGCTTGAGAAACCTCATATGTTTCACTAGGGACACAATTAAATAGATCACAGTAGTGGTGTCACCAAAGCTCAACTATCTTATCTGGGCCAGAGACTCCATCAATAGTATGGGGTAGAGAAAATCTACTGCTGTACATCTTTCCAGAACGATTTGGTATTATTCCTTAGGAGTTTTTCAGCCATAGAGTCAGACCTCAGCTTTTGTTCATTTTTCATAATAAATCTTATAGCATACTTACAGTATATTCTGCGCTTGTATGCTTTGTATGCTCAAATATAGGCCCATGTCTGGGTTTACCAGCAAGGGCCCAGGAGGTTGTTGCATCACGGGCTCTAGCCTTATATTCAGCCACATAAGTGCTTCACCCAGGTTTAATTTTGCACTTTTCTTTTATAATAAGGCATACTAGCTTCTATCAACACCCAAATAATATTAGAATACATACAATAAATATCAGCCTTGTGGCTAACAGCAATACAGTTAAAATCCGTACATATAACAGCCTCTCTAGGTAGTGTAATATCACGTAACAGTTTATCAGTGTCAGAACAGTAGCAAGCAAGATCCTCTGCAGAAAGAATAGACCAATCCAACCTTTCATGCTTTTGGTTAGTCTGAATTAAAATAGGTATAAAATCACATCTAACGGCCATCTTTACAGGAATGTGGTCAGAAATAGACATGTTATATAGAATGGCAATATTCTCCAAAGCAGCATGTGCATCAGCTGTTGAAATACAGTGGTCTAGCCACGATGTTGTATGCCAGGCCTCACTTATATACTGTATGTATAGCTCTGCCTTGGCAAAAGCTCACTACTAGACAGAAATCAGTTTATTATCAGTACAAAAATGCACCACATGCTTCGCGAAAACACAGTTCTTGTCTGAGATATCTGCATTCATATCACCCACAATATTATATACACTAGTAAGCCCCTCACTCAGTATAAAAGAGCTAATAAAAGCTAACTTATTCAAATACTCACACAGAAGACTCACATGTTGACATTTGGCACGTGTTTTATGCCGGATGCCCTTCCTGACGTAACCTGGATTCGAACCCGGGGCGCGGCGGTGAGAGCTACATTCATACGGGGCATACACATTTAAAATCATCAGTTCCTTATTGTCCTGAATCAGGCGTATTGCAATGCACCAGTCCACATCGAGCCTGACCACATTAACCATTGAATCCAACCTCTTAGACCACAGGATAGCCACACCTCCAGGAATTCTTCCTCGTTCTATACCGAGTC